GTGTGTGTGTGTGTGTGTGTGTGTGTGTGTGTAGATTTTGACCCAATATCACAAATGCCCAAAAATCAGACCTTCGTCCAATGCTGGAATGCATTGTGAGCTGGACTTGGCATTAGGAAGATCTGAGTTTATTCTCTTGTTTCAGTACTTCCTACCTGGGTGACCCTGACAAAATCACTTAAAACTTCTTTGGGCCTGAGTTTCCTGCTCTGTAAAATGAAGGGTTGGACTGGATGGCATTCAATGATCCTTCCAACTCTATATCTATGGTTCTACAAAGTCACCGAGGGTCAGTTCACTGAATCCTAGCCAAGTGTTCACAGACCTGTCTAGCAGAAGTGTGACAAGAGGGGAAGGAGCACGGGATCAGAAGGCCTGGGCTTGAATCTGAGCCTATTTACCTTAATCAAGTCACTTTGTCTCTGGCTTCCTCGAAGGGGACTGGGCTAGATGTCTTTTTCCCTACCATTCCTAACATTTTCTAACTCAAGCTCCCAACCAATGTAAGCACCCCTAAAAGACGGTCATCCAACCTGTGTCGAACCTGTCCAGTTATAGAAAACCCGCCCCCTAAAGAGGCCAACCCACTCCACCGTCGGACACAGCTCGGATTGTTGGGGAGCTTTCTGATGCTGAGTCAAAATCTGCCTCCGAGGCTCCCCCGGCCTCTTCCGCCTCTGGGGACAAACAGGACAAACGGAATGCCTCTTTCACCTGACAGTCGTCCCGTGCCTGCTGGGTCTTCTCTTCTCTAGGCTCAGCACCCCAGTTCCCCGCCCCATGGCTGGTGCTCCCTCCTGGGCATGATCTCGAGGGCCCTCTCGGGCTGGGGGTCCTCATCCCGAACGCCTGCAGACAGTGTTGCTGACTCTTAGAGGCAGGAGGGACCCCATCGGCCATCGAGCTCAACCTGTACCTGAAAAATGAGTCCCCTCTAAAACATTCTACGTTTAAAAACTTCTAGTGACGGGAGGCTCACTACCCACCGACGCAGGGAGAGAGCCTTGAGTCCTCGGCGCTGCACTCTCACTCCCCCTGCCCTCCCCCCAACTCCCCAGGACCACCCTGTTTCTTCAGCCCAGGGCTGTCCTCACCTCGGCTCAGAAGCGAGAAGGCAGCACCCAAGACGCCAACCCAGCCCCAGAGAGCTCCCCCCCACAACACGCCAAACTCACAAGCGCCGGGGGCCCGCAGGAAGCGGAAGTCGAAGCCGGCGTCCCCTCCCTCCTCTCTCTGACAGGCTGGGAAATCTTTCCATCTCCGTCGCGGCCCCGCCCCCAGCCCCGCTGGGGATCGTGGGAAACGCTTACGTATCCGAAGACAGAGCTGGAGGGGCGGGGCGCGAAGGGGAGGTGGGGAGGCTGCCGTCAGAGGAGGGTGCGAGCGGAAGCTCCCTGGCTCCTAGGAGGAGCTGCCGCCTTCCTGTCCCCTCCCCCAAGTCCTAGGTTCAACCTCGGCAGTCTTCCGTGTTGCATCCCCATCCCCTCCCCGGGGTGGATGGATGGAGGCGCCACGCGCTCTCCCTGGGCTCAGCAGGTCACACCTGCCTCCTTCTTTAAGAAGTTACAAGCCTGATCCGGCCCCGCCACCTGAGAGCGTTCATATTAAACCGTTAGGTGTCTGAAGTCACCAGCATCCGCCTTATTCCCAAATCTCAATTCTCAATCCACCTTGACCCACAGTCATCACCTCCCTTTCTGGGTACTCTCCTTCACTGGGTTTCAGATACTCTATACTCTGCTGGTTCTCCTATTTCTGCTCACACTTTTAATCTCCTTCGTGACTCTTTTACCACCACCTAAACACAGGTAGGATGTCTAACTTCGAGTGAGATCATCAACAGAAGAGGACAAGCTCTGCCCTGGCCCTCTTCTCTTGCTGAACTTCTGACAATCTGAATTTGGCCATTTGAAGCCATGCTCATAGCTTCAAACTGTCACTTCTAAGCAGGACCTGCAAAGTCCAGCTTTGTTGCATGTCTCCATTTGGATATCCCATCCTTTCCAATAAGATAACCTATAGGCACCTGTACTCAACATGTCCAGAACAAAATTAGTCTTTTTTTTTCCCTCAAACTCCTCTAACTTCTTTATCTGTTTCAAGTACTACCATAATCCCAGTCACCCAGGTCTGCAACACAGAAGTCATTATCAAGGCTTCTCTCTCTCTCTCATTCCTATAGTCAGTTGCCAATTCATGTCAATTACATCAATTGTATCTCTGCCTCATCTCTGAAATTCTTCCCCTTTTCTGTAATTATACGGCCACCACCCTAATTACCGTTCTCATCACTTACAGCAATAGCTTCCTAATTGGCTTCCCTTCTCTCCCCAATCCTAGCACACAACTGTCAAATGGATATTTCCAAAGCACAGGACTAATTTATTATTCCCCTGCTCAAAAAGCTCAAGGGTCTCTCAATTGCTTCTAGGTTAAAATTTAAATCTTTGTTTAGCAGTTTTAACAGTAGTAATTAAAGTCAAGGTCATTGATTTAGTCCAGTGCCTACCCTAGAGCCTTTCACGTGATAGGGGAGCAATAAATATACATTGAATGAAGAAATGAGTATTCCTGTGTGGGCACGTGAATTGCCTCCAGTCTCAACTCCAGACAGCTGTGAACTCGACCTGAGCTCTATTCCAGGATACAGATTGATCCCTTACTGATAAGGATGACAGTAGGGAGAGGTAGAGGGGATAGAGACCAGACCTGTGATTTCATCGATATAGGGAGCTTCCTCTGGTACTATAAGGTGGTACCTTTTCTGTAACTTAGAGAGTTGCCTAGAGCACTAAGGTATGAAGTGATTTGTTCCGGGTCACAGCCAGTATCAGCTGGAGAACTTGGTTCTGCTATTGCCTCTAGACACTGAGGCTGGCTCTCTATCCATTACACAGAATTGCCTCTCTGCAGGATGACAGTGCCTAAGTAAATTCCCCACGAGGAATGCTCTCTACATAGCTCCCTATTGATTCCATTTCACTGACTTGCCCTTAATCCCATGAACAGAAGCTTTGGTCTTGATTCCTGGCTGATGAAGTGATCTTTCTAGACCCCATACCAATGGCTCCCACATTCACCATGCCCCTAGTTAGCCTCCTTCACCTATCCCTAAGGGATGCAGCTGCTTTGCTGGAGAGAGGGCCCAGCAGCTTCAGGGAAGTAGGAGTAGAGGTGGGGAGGACACAAGGCCAGGGGCAAAAAAGGGACAACTCCACTAGGAAATAACAAGAACAAAGATTATTATGAAATCTCCAACACAACCCAATCTAAGGTGCTGGCTCCTTCAGTCTCAGAGGTAAGTTAGGGAGAATGTGCATGTCCTGGTTCTGTTTCTCACATGAAGGCAGGGAAAGAGGTAGAAGCAGTTCTGACTCACTTTCATTTTTCCTTCTCTCCTACTCAGTCTCTCTCTCTGGATCTGCCCCCAAACTTGCTGAGTGCCTGAAATTTTGAGATACGTTCTACCCCTTAGCATAGTTCAACAGCTTAGTTCTCTCAACAAACCAAAAGTTTACCCTTGACCAGTCAGGAGGGTCAGAGGCTCTGGTCTCAAGCAGACTGCCATGTAGGTGTCACGATGGCAGATCCCCAGATCCCCTAGGCCTCTCGAGCAGAGACAACTGGGATTCAGGAACTGGACTTGGTGGGGGAGAGAATATCTCTTCCCTTGGCAGAAACAGAAAAACCATACTCAGGACAATTTTATTCAGACAGAAATCAAATAGGAAGCATATCTCCTTTATTTTTGGAGAGGGAAAGTGGGAGGTGTGGGCTAAGTTGGAAGGCAGGTGGAGTTAGCCTATCATTGGCAGTCCCTGCTGCAGAAGAACAGCTGGGCCACTGGCCAGGTAACTTCACGTGACCGCGTAGAGTTCCTCCTGGGTGTTCTTACAGAGCTGGTAGCGGCAGGTGAGCTTCTGTGACCAGGCCCAGGGTTCTGTGTTCTTGTCACGAGGGGGTAGAAGGAAAGCCACACTACTGGCCATCAGAACATGCCAGATGCTGTGTGTGTAGAAGTAGTTGTCATTGGTCCCCATGAAGGTATAGATGGCAATGGCCACAAATGCCAGAGAGATTCCAGGGAGGAGGTAGAAAGCCCATCGCTTCCATGATGTGGGATAACAGTGATGGCGATGAATACATCTGTATACCTAAGCCACACAAGAAAAGGCAAGAATAGATCTATTAATGACCAAAGAGAGAGGGTCTCGTTGCTTTGGGGAAAGATCTGGATCCTAGTGACTAACCTGTGTGTAAGTTTGAATTAGTCTCTTTGGGCTTTCTTTGGGCTCATTTTTGTCAAATGAAGATTAATAATTTGTTTGGCTGCGATGTTCTGAGAAACAATTGGCAAGGCAAGGCAAGAAGCATTTATTAAACATTCAGGTAGCAAAGAGCTTTATAAAGCATGATGTGGGACCTTACAGATGGGGAGGGAGTGGAGGATGGGGACCCCGTGCCTTAGGACTTGAGGGATTCAGGGACTTGATCCCCCTTTCTACTTCCCAGTTGTGAAATGTCAGCCTACCCACTGGGGACAAAATGCCAGAGTAGATAGGTAGAAACCTATCTCTTCCATCTTCAGGGAATGACAAGAAGGTAGCTGGGAGTAATCACTAGCAAGTCCCTGGGGGAATTACAGTATCATTACCTCATATTAATATTATAGTTACAAAGTGCTTTCCACTGAACCTATGAGGTAGGTAATACAATGATTATCCCCAATTCACAGAGGAAACTGAGGTTCAGATGTGGAGTAACTAGCTATCATATAACTAGGATATGGTAGTCAGGAACTTGAATGAATTCCAAGTCCAATGTTGTTTTCATTCTGACACACTTGTCTTCATCCTGGAGCTGAACTAAGAGAGTCACCAAGATTTTGCTCCTGCAGACCCATCTCATTTAGACAGCTCCTTCCTGTCTGTCTCAGTGTCTCATCCTTAGCCCAGGGCTGATCAATAGTGAATCAAAGGAACACCAGTCAATGGGCCACCCTGGAGGCACACAAGTACACTGGCAGCTTCTGTCCAGGCTCCATGGGCATCCTGTCCCTGTAATATCCTACATTACTGACCCTCATCAGACCTCAAGGGAGTTGAATAATGTTCTCTCCAGCCAGTCATTCAGCTGGTCATCATGGAATGTGTATTATTTTCCAATACCGTGCTAGGCTATGGAGGGGACACTTCAGACTTTGAAAGAGGTTTCTTAGTCAGTTTTGAAATTGAAGAATGCTGACCAGGAGAAATTAGTCTTCCATAAAAAGTGACTCATGTAAGGCTCCTCTGCATTTAGATACATGATCTACTTACATTAACTGGTCATGGCAAAGGCTAAAAAGCAAAGATACGCTTTTGGTCAGGACTCTCTATGGCGTAATCCTTGGGCTCTGACCCCTTACTGTTTTTATGTCAAGGACCTCCTCAGAGGGAAATTGATCTGTAAATAAATGGGTTTGCTCTGTGAACTGGGGGAAACTGGTGATGAACATTTTGTGTACCAGCCTGACTGGTACCTAATAGGCACTTAATAAATGCTTGTTAAATTAAACTATAGGCCTACAATGACCTGAAGACTACAAAAAACAAAGCCAGGGCCTGTGCTAACAGTGCAATGCAGTAGAAATAGTGGAAAGGAGGCTTGTCAAAGCCTGAGCAACTCTCCTTCTTCTGTGTAGAGACCTCGACAAGGGTAAACCTATTCCCTGGAGAGTATCTGTTTTCTCATCTGTAAAATGGGATAGTATTACTTGTACTACCTACTGTGTAGGGTTGCTATAAGTAAAGCACTTTGTAAACCCTAAAGAGAGAGCAAGTGAGCTATCTACCCATCTGTGAGCTACATACAAATGATGATAGGTCTATTTTTACTGGACAATTTGAGTTAGGAACCAGAATGAGATCCCTAGTTCTAGACTCTTTTGCTTTTCATAACTCCATAGCACTGATTTCTAATACCATCTGAATGTTTGTAGATTTCACCAACATTAAACTTTGACTAGCCTTAACATAGCACATAATAAGAGCTAACATTTATATAGTGCCTACTATGTACCAGGCACTCTGCCAAGTGCTTTTCAATTATCTCAATTGATTCTCATAACAACCCTGGGAAGTAGGTGCTATTATTACTTCCATTTTACAGATGAGGAAACGG